ATAATAAATAATAAATAATGACAGGGAGTAACACTGTGATACAAGCACAGGGGACTAATAAGGAAAACAATAGGTAAGACGGTAGAAGCTGAAAGCATTGCCTGTTTTTCCTCCCGAGGTTAGCAGCTGTGCTTGGCTCCCTACTCTGTGGTCTTAAGTTTCCACCTTCCTGAAGGAATAAAGAGATGTGCGGTTTACTTTGTTTCTCCCTTACCACGCCACTTATTTCTGAGGACCGGACTTGGGAAACTGCAGGACAGAAAGACAAACACTAGCAAGAAGTGCTGCACCCGGCTTCCCTTCCGGGGCCCTCGGCGCAGGGTTGCAAAACCTCTATAGGCCTGTAAAGCGCTGTAAGAAAAACACCCGGAGGTTTTCATGCATAAGCCCTCGCTGTGCACTCAGAAAGGAAAATATATTCCAGAAACACAAAGGCAGTGTTGTAACACAGGCAAAGTGGGAAGAGGGCATATTGTTTCTCCATCATGGAAAATATGCCTCAGTGATACTTAAGAGTCCTAGTGCCACAAAATTAAACAGAAACACACTGAATAGTGCCGAGATTATCCTGGGGTATATAGCACCCAAGAAATGTCGAAAAGCAAAACCTGCCTTAACCCCGTCAAGTTTCCCTAATGAACTATGTACTTTAAAAAAAATTGCAAACTAATAGGTGCGTGAGAAAAGGGGAAATAGAGGTATGGAATTATTATTTTTGTTTCTAAGCTTTTCATTAAATGAAATGGATTTCAGTATGTGTGAGCCACAAAAAATTTTAATGGACTTTACTTGCATTAAGCCACTCAGGCTAATAGTATTGATCAGGACAAAGCATGAGAGAGTAATACCATGAAAAGAAAGTCATTTTTCATTTCCTGTCCCAGTTAAAACTATCACGTCACACTAATTTGGTTAATACAATATGGCATTAAGCGAGCATATTTTAACCTGTTCTTCTGGGTCGTCAGAGTTTAGAATGACTGAGTAAATGAAACTTCTGCAGCAGGGACTTGACGCCCTGGACTGATTGGCACCAGGAATGCTGCTGTATTGGGGTGGGTGCTGGGTGACCTAGTGTGATGAGTTCGTTTTAGGAATTCAGGACTATTTTAAGAGGTATGAATGCATGCATGTATTTTAATGATTTCTTTATTTTTGTGTGTATAGCATGTTAGAGTTTTGTATCTGTATCTAGAAAAGCCCAGGCAGGTCCTTAATATGAGAGTTTGAGCCAGTCATGGTGGAGTAGCTTGTACCACACTAACCTCTCACACACACAGAATTAAACTTTGGACAAATACTAACACTCATGGAAACCTCAGGTTGTACTAGTTGAGGAATCGGAGGACAGAGTTCAGCGTGGCCACAGGCTCTGGAAGGTGAGGAGGAAACGCTGAAAAGGGGGAGCTGGAGGGTCCCCACATCGTCCAAATGGGGCCTGCACCGTACACCCTCGGGGCTGACGGAATTCCAGCAGCCCAGCTGAAACAACGGCAGGGATTTCAGCCGTTGCCCACCATAGGCGGGGGAGACAGAATTTGGAGCTGAGACCAACCAAGTTAACTGCCTATTCTACAAACAAACAAACAAACAAACAAACATTTTTGCAGAGCAACAAGGCAGAATCCACCGTTTCTACAATGCATTGCTCACGATGTCCAGGATACAACCCAATTACACCGGACACGTGGAGAAACATGCTCAAAAGAAAAGCAATCGGCGGAGAACGGCCCCCAGGCGACCCAGGTGCTGGGAGTCGGTGGGCAGGGGTTTTTCAGGGGGCTGTATAACTCTGCCCCAAACCAGAACCACCCCGAAACCCTCTCACTGGACAGGAAGTGTCAGCAGAGAAAAGGAAACTGTGACCGCAGTGGGATCAAATGGAGTCTCGAGGTGAAAAGAAAAGTGTCTGAAATTAAAAGTCACCAGGATGGTTTACCAGCAGCTTGGAGATGGAAAAACAGGAGGTCGGTAAATTTACGGATAGAAAACACTGAAATTACCGAAGCTGAAAAATGTGAGCAGTCAAAACGGGGTGTGAGGAGCATTTTCTTTGGTTAGTGCTTTTATTTATAGAAACTTACAAAAATTACAGTTGACGTACAATATTAGTTTCAGGCGTGCAGCACGGCGACTCGATTATTTTTGTACAACATGATCGTGTGTAGCTGCGTGTCCCCGCACAGCTGTATTACCGACGGCATCCCGCGCCGTGCACTACGGCCCGTGACGCATTCATGCCTGGGAGTTTGCAGCTCCATACCCTTCACCCACTTCACCTGCC